TCTAATCAAGGTTTAGGCTGTGTGCTTATGCAAAGATGAAAAGTGATTGCTTATGCCTCAAGACAACTGAAAGCACACGAGGTCAACTATACCACACATGACTTGGAACTAGGATTCGTAGTCTTTGCATTGAAGATTTGGAGACATTATCTCTACAAAACCAAGTGCACGATCTTCACTGATCACAAGAGCCTGCATAACATCTTTGATCAGAAAGACTTGAACATGAGGCAACGGCGATGGGTAGAACTACTCAGTGATTATGAGTGTGAAATCCGTTACCATCCTGGCAAGGCCAATGTGGTAGCAGATGCCCTTAGCCAAAAGGAGAGTGCAGGCCACAAAGTGAAGAACCAGACGATGACTATCCATTCCAACTTACCCATGCAAATCCGAGAAGCCCAGTTAGAAGCCCTCAAACCCGAGAACGTGTTGATCGAAACCATGATAGGAATGGAAAAGAAACTTGAGATCAGAGGTGACGGAGTCTATTGTTTCATGGATCGGATCTGGATTCCAAAGTCCGGGGGATTCAGGGAGATTGTCATGGAGGAAGCACACAAAACCAAATACTCTGTTCACCCGGGTTCTGACAAGATGTACCTGGATCTCAAGAATAAATACTGGTGGCCAAACATGAAAGCTGAGATAGCTACGTTCGTGGGCAAGTGTTTGACTTGCGCCAAAGTCAAAGTTGAGCACCAGAAACCCTCGGGTCTACTCCAACAGCCCGAGATACCCGAATGGAAATGGGAGATGATTACCATGGATTTCATCACCAAACTACCCAAGTGTCCTAGTGGGTACGATACCATTTGGGTAATTATCGATCATTTGACAAAATCCGCTCACTTCATTCCGATCAAAGAATCATACATGATGGAAAGACTCGCACGAATCTACATCAAGGAGGTAGTTCGACTGCACGGTGTACTTGCATCCATTATCTCTGATCGAGATAGCAGGCTTACCTCCAGATTCTGGCAGTCCCTTCAGAAAGCCCTTGGAACCAAGCTAGATATGAGCACGACGTATCATCCTCAGACCGATGGACAGAGTGAGAGAACAATCCAAACCCTGGAGGACATGCTTAGGGAATGTGTCATTGACTTTAGAAAGTCTTGGGACACACATCTATCTTTGATCGAGTTCTCATACAACAACAGTTACCACACCAGCATCAGGGATGCTCCGTTTGAAGCCCTATACGGTCGTAAGTGCAGATCCCCTCTGTGCTGGGCCGAGGTGGGGGATACACAGTTAGCCAAGAGTCGATTCCCCGACAGTACTCTCACTGGTCCTTAAATCATCCACGAAACCACCGAAAAGATCATCCAAATCCACGACCGATTGAAAGCATCACGAGATCGCCAAAAGAGTTACACTGATAACCGTCGGAAACCTATAGAATTCCAGGTTGGAGACCGTGTCCTATTGAAAGTCTCGCCCTGGAAAGGCACTGTACGTTTTGGTAAATGTGGGAAACTTAACCCTAGGTACATTGGACCCTTCGAGATCCTCACCGGGGTCGGCCCGGTAGCCTATAAACTTCGTTTACCTCATGAACTCAGTAACATTCATCCTGTCTTTCATGTCTTAAATCTCAAAAAGTGCCTATCCGATGAAACCCTAACGATTCCCATAGATGAGATCGAGATCAATGAAAACCTCCACTTTGTGGAGAAACCGATCGAAATCATGGATCAAGAAGTCAAACGTACAAAGCAAAGTCGCATCCCGTTAGTGAAGGTTCGTTGGAATGCCAAGCAGGGACCGGAATTCACTTGGGAGCGGGAAGACTCAATGAAACAGAAGTATCCACAACTCTTTACAGATCCATGATGTGTATCTTGTCTCGTATCTTAACTTTGAATTCCGGGATGAAATTCCCTCTAACGGGGGGATAATGTAACAACCCGAAATTTCGTACCACTTCTTGTAACTCTTTTCGTAGTTCAACTCGATCAACCAAACGCCATTTTCAAATCCGATTTCGATTTCGCCGTTTAATTAAGTCATTAACTTGTATCGATCTAAAATGAATTAATGGGTGTCTTGATACAATTAGAAATCATCTTAACACCCCATATTAGTGATCGGAATATTTCTAGAATCGACCATATCGGGTTATAGCAACTTAATCGGGTGCGACCAAAAGCCTCGCCTAACGCCGGTATCGGGTAGAATTCCACCGTGTCCAAAACTTAGACACTATATAAAGTGTTCTAAGCCTTCATTTCAAACTTTTGGCTTCATCTCACTACTCTCTCTCTAACCTCTCCCCTCACTCTAGATTAAGGTCCAAAATCAAAGATTTAAAGCTCCAAATCTTAGAGGTAACCTTCCTAGCCTGTTATCTAACCTCTTTAGCCTTAAAATTAATGTTTAAAATGTGAAATAGGACCTGGAACAAGTGTTTACGGTCAAGACACATGATTGGGTCGTAAACACATAAATATGGGGTTTTTGAGCCATATAACCCATCCAAATCATTGTTGGGACTTAGATACAACTTTGAGGCTTACAAACCGGGACTTGGAACACCTTAAACTTGAATTTTGAGGGACAAAAGAGAGTTTATGGCCAAAGCATGTGCTTGGTCCGTAAACTCCTCAAACATGGAGAGTAAACTCCTTTTAACATGTTAGAATGCCTTGAAACTTAACCAATGGCCTTGTGGTAAATCCTAGAAACATCTAAAAATAGTTTGGGGGCCTTAAACATAACAAAACACCACATACAAGAGTTTACAGCCATAGAACATGCTCCAAGGCCGTAAACTCCTAAAAGTGTGTTAAATGGTGCCCTAAATCCATACCAAGGCTTGGAAAATTAACTAGAATCACATGTGATTGTTCCTTGTGCCTTAAAATAATTATCTTTGACCATGGGAGAGTTTACGGCCGTAAACTCCAAGTTTATAGCCGTGAACTCCCTTTTAAATGGTATAAGTCCATTTAATCCATTCCAAGGCATTTTAGAAGTCCATTCCAACAGTTTCCAAGTCTAAACAAGCCATTAAACACTCAAAATCACACCAACATGAGTTCTCGGACGTGAACTCATGTATGTATGTGTTTTGTGGTCGTAAACTCCCTAAAGTGTTTACTCTTGGGGAGTAAACTCAAATCCCAAGTCCCTCGCATCATTTCACGTCTGTAGATGTCACCCGGGTCACTCCAAACGCTCGTTTTGAGGTGTTTAACCTCGTTGGAGTGTAATGTTCTATATAATTAGTGATTCTAAATCTAGTTAGATATATATGGACATTATTACATTTTACATAGGGACATCGCGAGTAATCAAGCCCCGAACCAACGTTTAGTGTCTGAAACCGTCACATTTCCTAGTCTGGTGAGTTCGTACCCCTACCCTTTTTCACTGTTTTCAGGGGGAACACAAGCAAAGTACAAGGGATTACATGTACTCAAAACATATTCTCATGTGTGTGTTTCACATTTTATATGCTTTTAACACTGATTGCTACAACTAATAACTGTTTAAACATGCTGATCACGTAAACATATATTTGTGAAATGGATTTTAAACTGTTATGTTTTATATATATTTCACAAATGGTTTTCCACATTTTATCGGTTAAAAGCATGACATTAGAACATTTGAACATAGAACCTGTACTATTTTTTCCTCGGTAACAATCCACAGATATATGCGAGTAGAGGACTATCATATTATTACTAGTAAATTTGTTAATCCTATATGATTGGAGACACGTCGTCGGCGAGCATTCCACAGAGATACGCGAGTGCAGGACTACACCCGTAACCAGAATCTCTGGGATTTAGAGAGCGTGACTTGAGTGTATAGATCTATACGGGGCTGACTACCCCACACCTGGCTGCTAGCTACAACCGAACCGAAATGGTTCAAGGGTGACGAAAGTCATAAGGATGTGGACTACTTATTGCCACAGGTTTAGTCCATCGTATGGTTATGGAACTCGCAATTAGGATAACAGAGATTTACTTATGGTAATAATGAACAACTTTATACAATTCACAAGATAACCAGGTTTTGGTATACATCTTTCACATTTGAAATCAACATTCAGAAAAGTATGGGACTTTCCTGGGAAAACATTGAACATAACCACGTATTCAGAAAACGTCTTTTACATACGACAATCAACATTCAGGAAAGTATGGGACTTTCCTGGGAAACCTTGTACATAACCAGGTCTAACAGGAATACATCTTTTACATACGGTAACCAACAATCAGGAAAGTATGGGACTTTCCTAGGGAATATTTACATAACTAGAAAAGCGTAACAAACCCGATAACCTTACATCTTTCACAATTGGTAAAGTAATCAGGAAAGTATGGGACTTTCCTGGGAATACATTGGTACATAACCAGAACAGTATGTCAAACCAGATAACCTAGCTGTACATTTTCACAAAAGTAAACATGTTTTCAGTGTACAACTTTACTTTACATGTTGGCAAACGATAACAAACCTTTTTAAGAAAATATGGGATTTTCTTGTTGTGCATAACATTTCAGAAACATAAAGGAAACTTCAACATTTCACAAACAAAAACTACTTATGAACTCTCCAGCGTTATGCTGATTTTCAAACCGCTTGTGTTCTCAGGTCAGCGTTACAACAGGTACCCGAAGATCCTTTTTGTCCAAAGACGGAGTACTCAGAAGACTCGCTTCATTTTGTTCATATATATACTATGTATCACAACTGTACAACTTTAGTTTTGAAACAATTGTAAAACTTTTCTTTATGTAATGTAATGGTTGTTTTACTTTACTTACTATGTACATTGGATTTGATACTCAACGTGGAGTCAACCCCGGAAATGTTTCCGCCTTCGGTTTTCAGGGTGTCACAATCTGATCTCCAAAATTGCAACAAACCGAAAGCTCTTCTCATTTTACCTTAAATATACGTAACCTCAATACGATTCATGGAGTTTAAAAAGAATCTGTCTGAAGGTTGGGCTACCTGTTCAAACAGAAGACTTTATGAACACCCAATTAAAAGGATTTCGGGGTCACAATCATACTCTTCATGAGTTCATATTGGCTGATCTACCTCTTATGAACCCATATGATCGGATTTCGTTATTCCACTTTGTTGTGAAGGATATGAAGAAATGTGAACCCATCTTTGAGCATTTTAAGAGGATGATTAAATGTTATATCTTGGAGCTTGCCATGATAGATGTACAAATTTCTTCAGTTCTTAAAAGAAAACCCATATTGAAGACTTTTGACCAACCCCAAAACATTGAAAATCTAAGGGGAGGATTGATTGACAAACAATATTGGAGCACTGTTTAGAAGAAGATGGAAGGTGAAGTGATTAAGAATTTCATGTTCTAAGTGCTCTGAACTCAATCTAGTATAGGGTCGTAGCTAATAAGACTAATTTTGTCATTGTAAACCAGGGGCGGAACACAAGCACTACAACTAGGGGCCGAAATCAAAACTTCATAATTAAAATATATAAAGAAGTTTTATTTATTTCAAAATTATGACATATCAAAAGTGTAAAAAAGAAAACTAATAGAGCGTTATATCTTTATCAAAGTGGAACGCGATGATCTTTTGCTTTTTTAAAGTCTTCTATAACAGTCTCTAAACTAATCTTTTCAGCAAGTTCCTGCTCGAAGTGCAAAACCAATGATTCATTCAAAAACTCGTCTTCAATTTTGTTTTGTAACCTTGTTTTAATGAGGTTCATTGCCGAAAACGATCTCTCCGTTGTAGCGGTAGAAACTGGAAGAGTAAGTATGAGACTAGATACTCGATAAATAAGATGAAAGTTCACTACTCTTCTAGTCTTTATCAACCATTGGCACAATTCTGACATAGATGTCAATAGTTTATAATCTGCATGCAGAACAACATCAATCTCATAATGTTGAAGTTTTATTTTCAAAACTACTTTCTCTTGCTCATTGAAATCTTCAGGATAAAATTTCTCTACCAACTTAATTACATCACCACATCGAAAAGGCTCATCAACACTTTTAGGATCTAATGTTGTTAAAATTCGGAGCAACTATGTTGATCTATCACTGAATCGATGATTTAGTTCCATTAACTGACAATTAATTGCTTCGTAAAATACATCCACTTTGTAATGATGTTCTAGTGTATGATCACTAAGCTCATTACGCGCTCGGGCCCCTCTAGTAAAGTATGGAGAAGTCATATCAGGGATATCAATGTTGCGTTCTTGACAAAACGACATAACAAGAGACAACAAACCATCCCATCTTTCATCTTTCATCTTTCATTTTTTGCAATAACAATTTGGTGGATGCAACTAGCCTCAATGCATTGCAAATATCTTGAGATTATCTTTGTAAAGCTTGACAAAGTAAATCAGTGATCTCCATTATTTCTTGCTCGAGATGAAGAACGAAAATGAACTCAAATGTAGTAAGAGACTCATATGCTGAATCTGTGTCGCCTTTGATTGGACCAGTTTCATCCTTAATAATTTTAAGTAAAACCTCACAAGTTGGACTAAACATTTTGATTAAGCTCGAAACCGATTTAAGGTGAGAACTACATCGAGTATCACCAGCTCGTTGTAATGTACCAATTTGATTAAGACCTTTAACTGTCTCTAACTCGTCAACAGAAATCTTATATGCAATTTCCTCAGCTTGTGCATCTCTAAGTTGGTCGGTACGCTTGGAGGAAGCATCAACAACATTGATAACAAAAGATAATCGAGTAAAAAACTTGTGTAATGCAACAACTCCTTGTGAAGCAGCCATTAAGGCTAATTGTAATCGATGGGCAAAACAATGAACATAATACGCATATGGACAGTCATTTGAAATCAATGCTTGCAAACCCTTGAAATGACCTCGCATATTGCTTGCACCATCATACCCTTGACCACGGATTGACTTAAGATCAAGATTATTACATGATAATATAGAAGAAATTCCATTTTTAAGAGTTTGTGATGTAGTGTCGGGTACATGAACAAGCCCAAAGAAACGCTCCATAATAAAGCCATCTTTATTTAAAAATCTCAAAACAATTGACATTTGTTCTTTATTAGACTGGTCACGTGCTTCATCAACAACTAAAAAAAATTGTGCACCATTAATCTCCTCACAAATCATCCTCCTCACCCTAGTTGATATAAGGTTTAAAATCTCTTTTTGAATTGACGGTGATGTATATAATGCATGTTTAGGAGCAGTACGAAACAATTCTTCCATCTCTGTGTTAAAATAGCCAATTCCCTTCAAGATTTCACGAAAATTTCCTTCGTTTATGGAATCTGATCCTTCATCATGACCTATATATGCAATTCCTTGAAAGGCACACAAACGGACTGTATAAATAGTAGCCTTCAATCTCAATCTATTATTTTTACGTTCTTCTTCTGTAAATGTCTCAAAGACATTTCGTATATCATGTGCCTCATTTAACAAATCATCACATGATTTTTGTGCAACATTGTGAAAAGATGTGCACTCATTCCCTATATGATGCAAAAGGCACAATTTTTTCCACCAACTTTCTTCCAGTTCTGAAATCCATCTATAGTAAATGATTGTTGCCCATAGTGTCCCATTCCAGAATGCTTATTGAATAGAAAACATGGAAAACAAAATGCAACATCTAAGCTCTCTGAATATTCAAGCCAATAATATAACTTACACCAAGAAGCTTGAAAACTACGTTTATGGGTTTCTGGACCAGATTTTGGATATACAGAAAGTGTTTGTTGAAAGGGACCATGATAAATATATGCTCGTATAATAGTATCTCGTTGATTTACGGGATAATCATAAATTTGCTTACGCAAACCAGGATCTCATTCTAGTGTACTAAGATCAATTTCATTATTTTCAACATGATTTTTTTAAGCGATTCTCAATAATTGGAACATTGGACGTAGGGGTATCTTCATCCAAAACAATCTCCGGTGGGTTTTCGGAATCTTGAGTAGAACTTGAGTGTTTTCTTTTGAAAAATCCATCAATAATAGATTGTTTTTTTTCATATTCATATAAACTACACAATCGAATTTACTAACAATTAATAAATAGCAATATAAAATAGCTAATAAACAAATGAAGTTTTTTACTTTCAAAAAAATAATATAAAGTGCATATAAATGTAATTAGTTTCATATGAATATATGATCATAGCATAACAAGAAATATAAATACACAAAATCGTTAACAACAAATATAGATAATTACATATACAAATATAGTATGATAAATATTATATATGTATATATTCGGTTAATAAATATAGATAATTACATATACAAATATATCATATATGATAAATATTATATATGTATATTTTCTTCTAATGCAACAAATAAAGTAATCAATAAATGAATATAAGTATTATTGTCAGATGCTAGTGTGTATATGTGGTAATCACAGTACCTTTCATATTTTATTCAATTTATTTATACTTTATTCAATTTCTACTTTTTGACCAAGTAAAAGCAATAAATAAATATATAGAGAAACGTAGAGACAGAGAAACATAAAACTACTTAAGCAAATGGGGAGCAACGAAGAAGAAGAAGAATAAGAAAAACCTTATGGAAAGCAATAGTCGTCTGAACACTCAAGTGAACGGCAATCGACGGAGGTGAAACTTCAGTAGTCTTGGCTCCGACGACTAGCAAGGAGATGAGAGAGCGTACGGTACAAATGTGGCGGCCACCAGAAAAGAGTACAAGACAGTAACGATCTTAAGTCTTAACAGGCGGCGTTCTCCGGTGAGCTTTGAGAAGTAGCTTTTCGACGACCGGAATAAACTTTGGATTCTTTGTTCACTTTTTCAGTTTAATTTCTTAAGCTTAAACCTAGGTTAAATTGTTCTAAACTTGATTAGATTTTGGGGTTTTTATAATTTTTAATAGATATTAAGTTTCCTTAATCCTTATTTTATAAATTCCTAAAATATAAGGATTCTTTTGATTTTGTTATCATCTTCCGAAAATTTAGTTAACGGGTTCCTAATGATTTGGAAACCAGGGGAAAAGAGGCAATTATGTGGTATTTTTTTCAACTTGATTGTGTATATACATAAATTAGGATAACCAAAAGCGCGTGGGGGGGGGGGGTGGGCATGGCCTCCCCTGGCCCCTATGAGGGTCCGCCACTAGGGATGAGAGGAGATGGTGGGGAACAATTTGGATAGTAATAGCACCACGACAGTAGGTGGTGGTGATGGTTTAGTGGTGGAGAAAGGGTGGTGGCGGTGGGTGGTAGGGTGGTGGTAGTAGGGTGGTTCCGGGGGTTGTTTTGCCTCTGGTTCTTCCTCCTTTTGATCTAGAAACGATGGGGGAAGGTGGCTGACGGGTGTTGATGATCATAAGGGTTATAAGGAGGTGTTTGCGTGGTGGAATGGTGGTTTAGGATGGTGGTGTTGGGTGTTTTTGGTGTAATCTGAGAGTGAGAGATAGAGGGTGTTTTAGAGAGAGATATGGAGGTTTTAGAGGAAGAGAAGATAGATGGAAGTTTGTGAGTGGTTTTTGGGGGTTCCTCAATCTTCTTTTTATAGTAAAACACACACACTCACTCACATAGTTGGGGCCATATTTCCAGGGGTGGAACATAAAGATGGAGGGGCCGAAATGAAAACTTCATAGGATAATAATGTAAACTAGTTAATTTTGGTTAAGAGCTATAATACCAAAAAAAATTAAAAATAATAAAATAAAGTATTCTAATATCGTTAGTATAAAACAAACCACATACACTTTGCCATTTGAAAATGTGATCATCTAGCTATGAAACATGGAATGTTACAGAATCCACATAATCCCCAAATAAATATTTTATAGAAATTTTGAGAGTGCTTTTTTCATTCTGTGTGTTATAAAATCATCATGTTGGAATAATATAGGATAAACCATGGTAAATTATTAGTCTAAATGTCAATTAAAAAAATTATATTTCATAAAATAAAATAAGGTTAATAATTATTAAAAAGGGATGCAGCTTTTTAATATTTTAATTATTGTTGTAGATGAGTAGGTGGGCATGATCTTTTATATCCTTTAAAATCATTTACATTAAGTGTTCTACTAAAAGAAAGAGAAAGAGAAAACCTACACATCCAGAGATCCTGCGACGGAGGCTGCTACCTTGCTGGTGAGAGTTGAAGATTACACTTTAGCGAGCTTTAGAGTGGAGAGATGGAATACAAGTGGAGAGGACAAGAGGAGAGAGGTGGTGAACACCTAAAGGGGGAAACATTTACTGTTTTTGGTGAGAAATCCGTTCGTAGTTGAGCATTCCGGAGACCGACGTTTTCTTCAGGTACTTACGCATTTTCAAGATGTGGTGAATTTTTAGACTGGGGTTTTGGATTTTTTTTTTCAAAGAGTGGGTTAACAATTTGGATTATAGAATACTATTTTGGTTGCATATAAGATATTTAGTTTCCTAATCAATTCATATCCTAATTTTTAGGATTGTTTTGATTTATTCTTGTGTATTTTCCTGATTTTGATCATATGTGATTGATTTTTCTGATTTTTTGGAGTTGAGTAGCTATTTGAATGTAATTTTGGATTATATATATACTTAACCTGAAGGGCCAATAATTCTACTAAAATAAAATAAAAATATGTATGAAATTGTTATATATGTATTACGAAGCCAAAAATCAGGGGGACCATGGCCCCTCCTGGCCCTTTAAAGCATCTGCCTCTACATACTCCCAACACATCACTTGTACTCTTTGGGAAAACTTGAACTCAAGAAGAAGAGATGAGGAAAAAGAAAAGTCACATGAGTTTGATCCAAGGAGGGAAAGAAATCAGATTTTGGTCTCTTGAGTCACATGTGGGCCGCACATACGGTTATACCTCCATTGGGTACTCAAAAACACTCCAAATCGGGTGCATCGGGATCCAAAAGGCGAGAACTTTTTCTGAAACTACTGTTAGATAGATTTTAATTCAAGGATTCTAGAACATCAAACAGATTAATTTTTGGACTTACGAAAATCCGGAAAATTATGTTTGAAGTTTCGCATCTAAATGGCTTGAGGTGTCCGTTTTCGCGACTTTTGTAAATATTTTCGCTAAAAATATTTCGAGTGTGGAATTAAATAATAGACTATAGTCTAATTCCAAAACTGTTCTCATAAATCCCGTCAACAATGCGTAAGTACCTCAACAGATTAGACCGATGGGTATTCCAGCCTGATGACTGATTAGACCCAACATGCTTGTTTGTATATGATATGTGTATTACGTGCTGGTGGTTTGGGAGAAACTAACTAAGCATTGGCTTACAGTTTTAATTTTATTTCAGGTATTTCAGAGAACTGTGGCAACGCAAATACGTGATTGTACATATCCAGATTTTATGTTATTGATCTTGGGAGACTCTAATTTTAATAATGTTTTAAAAACAATGGTTATGTAAACATTTCTTTTAGTAAATGGGTTGTTTTGAAAAATTTAAATTCATTGTGATTTTTGAGACGTTAGAAAATGTGTATGAGCCAAAAGACCTGGACCAATGTCTTCACGCGAGAAGACCTTTCTCCAAGACCTTTAATAAACACACACACGCACACAAACACACATAAACACACACACACACACACACACACATATATATATATATATATATATATATACACACACACATACACACGCACACACTTTTTATAGAAAAATTTTCCGAAATTATATTTTTTTTCAATTTTATTACACATGTTAAACCTTTTTAAAGTCTTTTAGCACAAACTTTTTATAGATTTTTTAGACTTTTTTACAACATTTTTTATTACCGTTTTACATCTTTTTTATAATATCTGTTATATTTTTATAACATTTTAAAACTTTTTGATAACATTTTAAACTTTTTTTACATAATCTTTTAATTTTTTTTACAATCTTTATTTATAACATATTTAAACTTTTTCACAAGCCTTTTAATATATATATATATATATATATATATATATATATATATATAATATATATATATATATATATATATATTAAACTTTTTCTACAACATAAAAAGTTGAAAAAAAAACTAATACAAATATTTTAAAAGTTTTAAATGCTATTTAAACTGTTTGAAAATGTGTTACTTTGCATATCCTTTTATTTGACTTTAATACAAACTCCTCATGATTTTACATAAATAAACCTATTTTGTTTTGATATTTTTGTCTATTTTTGTTTTTTTTTTTTTTTGGCATTTGTTTTTCACTATTATTATTATTATTATTATTATTATTATTATTATTATTATTATTATTATTATAGTCTAAATTAATTATGTAATTTTTTTTAATTTTTTGTGTTTTAGAAAAAAAACATTTATATATATATATATATATATATATATATATATATATATATATATATATATATATATATATATATATATATATATATATATATTTTTCGTTCAAACTATCAACATTTTTTTCATTCTAATTATCCCTATGTTATTTTTTCATCCGGACTATGAAAGTGTTATTTTTCATTCGTAATACAATTGAGATTTTTTTCGTTCAGACAATTCATATTTTTTTTTCTTCAGAAAATCCCTATGTAAATAGCAATAACTTTAACTCTATGATATCCAATACCTAGTGTTTTACCATTGTGTCACTTTTACACATCACCATATGTGGTGGATGAGAATCTTTATATAGTGCTAGACTAAATGCATACATTCAACCAAATATATTACACAAGAATTGTGATACAACACTTTTACTTAAAAACATAAGTTATAGTTTATTTACTATTATTTATTTTAGACAAAATTGCAAAAATGGTCCCTGTGGTTTGCATTTTTTCAGGAAAAAAGTCCAAACCACGAGTTTTTTGGTTTTGTCGTCCTTTTGGACTGGTTTGTTTGTGAGAATGGTCCCTATACTTAACACCCGTTAAATTCCATCCGTTAACCCCCTCATGTGCCTTGCACGTGAGGGTATTTCTGTCCTTTTACTTATAGGGACCATTTTTGCATATGGAAAAATAAAACATCCTTTATATATCGTTTTCTTTTCTTTTCCCAGCTTCTTCCCCAACAAATCTTCTTCCCCAACGTTCTTAACTGTTCTTCCCCAACGACTATTATCTTCCATTTCTCCTTTCCTGACTTGCAATCGAACAATGGTGGTTTGTTTTTGTGGAAAGCTTGCTTTGGTGAAAACGTCTTGGACACCACTGAATCCCGGCAGGAGGTTTTATGCTTGCCCTACTAAGGATTCTGTTTGTGGGTTTATCGGGTGGGTTGACCCACCTATTTGTGCTAGGAGTAAAACCATCATACCTGGTCTTCTAAGAAACATAAATACATTGGAGGAAAGATGTAATGGGCTGGTAAGAAGTATCAACATGTTACAGGAACAGTGCAATGGACTTTTGAGCAGGAACAACATGTTGGAGGCAAGGTGTGATGCATTGAAGGATGAAGGTTTCAAGCTGAAGATGTATTTATGTGCAAGTTGGTTTATGTTTGTGATTGTTATCTTTAGTACTTGGTCTATGTAAGGGATAGGGTTAGGCAAATGTGGGGATTTTTGTTGATCAAGTGATGCAGGGTAAAAATGGTATAATTTTGTTGTAATTTGACTTCATCATGTTTGTAATGAATTCCAAAATGTGTATCAGTTGTGTTCAAAATGTGTATCAGTTGTCAGATATAAGCACATAAATAGAACCAAAATGTAACAAAGTACATTACCAAAATACATGTCATAAATTTACCAAAATGAACATTCCATTAACCACATGAGTGGAACCAAAAACCATTACCAAGTTAAGCATACAAGTGTCTGTGCACCATACATAACCACATCATCAAACCATAACTAAAGTTTTCAAAAACAAACAGTTTTTAACAACAAGAAACTAAATAGTCATTGCACCACAACAAATAACCACAATCACTTCTTAGATTGATTCCCTCCTTGCCCTTTACAGGTCCTAGAGTTGTGTCCTTTATTCTTGCATTTGCTACAAGTAACACTAACATGTTTCCTTGATAGCTTCTGCACTCCATCATTTCTTGGCCCTTGGGAATTTTCTCCTTGCATCTCATTGACTCCATCACCTGCACTTGCCTTCTGCCTTTTGCTTAACCTTTCACCCTCACTTTGTCTTCTTTTTTTCTTAGGCCTTCCCACCTGAGTGTGATGTGGAGGAGGGATTAGCTTTGTTGGACAATTACTTTTAGGCCACATGGGTCTCCCTTTAATTGGTTCCACCTTAAATGAATAAGCTTTTTGCCATGTCTCTAGCCAATACACCTTGTGTACCCACTTGTAAATGTCAAGCTCAGCCTCAGGGTCTTTGCTCATTTCATTCAGAGTTGCAATTGCATGCCTGCAAGGTATTCCCATTAATTCCCACTTTCTGCAAGTACAGGTTTGGTTCCTAACATCCACCACATGTTGATCTTGCAATGCTGCAGTGACTTGATACTTGTTTGCCCCATTCCACCTAGCAATATATTGTGAAGCACTTTTTTCCTTGCATCTAGGATGTCTGTTGCTGTAGGTGTTAGTGGACCTTTAGCCTTCTTCATTGCCTTCATGACATTGCATATCCTCTTCATTAGATACTCCCTAATGAACTCTAAACATGAAATTACAGGTTTGTCCCTGCCTTTCTCTATCTTCCCATTAAACACTTCACACATGTTTGAAATCAACACATCAGAAACAGCTCTTCCTGCACATTACAATAACATACAATTAATGCTGATAAATAACTGAAACACATAATCTTTACCATATGCAAACATATACAATTACCTGAGAAATGACTCCTTGCCCAATGTACAGGAGGAATTTGCTTCAACCATTGACATGCCTCCTTATCATACTCACTAAACTCTTTCATCAAATGTTCAAACTCAGGAATGGTGGTTGCTGATGCACACCTCCATAAATGGTCCCTGTACTCAGTTTGCCCCCACTTCTTTCTCATATTGTCATGAATATGTCTAATACAATACCTATGCTCAGCATTGGGAAACAATTGATCAACTGCAATTTGTAATCCCTACATGACTCAACATACAATAATTAGAATTAATTTCTTGGTAAAAAAACACAATCTAAATGATCAATTGATGAGTTTTAATTTACCTTTTGCCTGTCACTTATGAAAGTATAGTTTGAGTTGCTCCCAAGCTCCAAGTCATCCCCAAGCTAGCTGTGTTTTCAGACTCAACAATTGCATAGGCTAAGGGATAAATTCCATTGTTGGAATCCAGACCAACTGCTGTAAGAACCTGACCAGGGAATGGGCCTTTCATGAAGGCACCATCCAAACCTACTAAGTCTCTAAGACATGCTTTGAAACCTTTTTTCAGTGGACCCAAGCATACATAAATCCTTCTAAACTGCCTTGTTGGGGATGCAGGGTTGCCATTAGGACACACATCTATTTTGACTGTTGTGTCTGGGTTTGTAGCTTGAAGTTCAAGAGCATAGTCCCTCAACAACTCAAACTGTTTTGTGTAGTCCCCAGTTACATGCTTTCTTGCCATATCTTTTGCCCTAAACACCTTATCCATTGAAATACCCACCTGGTAGGTCTTTTGAAAGTGATCTTGTATGGCTCTCAAAGGAATCTTCGGATCTGCCTCAACTTGATCTATGATTTTCTTGCAGATTAAAGAAGCAGTACAAGCTCTGAGTTTTCTTGTTTGTAAGCATGTATGAGTTTGGTTTAAGGTCCTTATAAACCAATCAGATTCGGGGTTTGACCTAGATGCATGTATATACCAACCACATGTTTCTTTTTGTGTCTTTACTTCTTTGCCCTTGCTTTTTGAAGTGGTAGGTTTAGTCCCCACTTGACCTTTATTGATGACAGGTACAACTCCTCTGCACTGTGCCCTAAGCCTTTGACTGTCATTTTTTTTAAAGAATAGATTCCTTCTTGTTTCTAGTGCGTGCACATCAATTAACTCCTTTAATTCTTTTTTACTTTTAAACTTTTGCCCCACTGAGAATGACTGTATATGTACTGACCCAAAGTTGCACCTTTTTTCTTTTCCCAAATTTCTTATGAGAGCTCTTCTTTCTCTGTCTTGGTCTGATCCTTCATCCAATGATTCGAACTCCTCATTGTTGATCACTTCCATATCTTCAGGTTCATGACCATCATTAATACATGCTCCTTCAACATCACTTTCAACATTTACAAAGAAGTCTGCCATGTCCACATCAACATCTTCTATATTGTTCTCCTCATCCATTATGTCATCCACTTTATCTTCATTTTCTGATTGTTTCCCATCATGATCATCACCTTCATCCTTTTCATACTCTTCATCACTCTCTTCAGATTCAACATCCCCTTCATACTCTTCAACATACTCATCACTTCCATTTAAATTTTCCATAAGGTTGTCAAAAAGTTCATTATATTGTTCATCATCATTAATGGGTGGGGTGTTGTAGCATCCATCAATCATCTCATCCTCATTAGTGTTTTCCTTCTCTTTTAAATCATCAATATCCTCTAAATTAAGCCTCTTGCTACAAGAACCTTCCTCTCTTTTTGAATTCCCAACTCTACCCCTTCTATACTCTGGAGAGAATGCATCAGTTTTACTCCCAAAAAGAATCAAAGACATGTACTCACCAATTGGTTCATCATTGACATGGTTCATATTTCTCAATGGAGATTCTACATGAACTTCAGCCTCATATTTAGCCCCTTGATCATCATTTTCTGGTAATTCCTCAATGACAACTTTACCCTTTGCATTTGGAGACATGAAGTATGTGAGTAGATTTGTCTTCCCATGTTCTGTGTACACTTCAATCAACTTGTTATTTTGAATAAATTTAGAAAGATTGATAACATCCTGATCATTCCCTAAAGCTCTAAGACCAAATTGAAAGTCACCATTGGGTATCCTGAAATGGTAGTATATCACTGGGGATTCAACACTCAATTCAATCATCCGTGGGTCTGGGTAACCTAGGTCAAGCATTATGGCATCAAGTTCATGTACAGAAAACTCATCTATGTCCACATAATCAACATAACGCACTTCACCTCCAGTATACTTTATGTCAGGTAACTTAGTAAACTTCCCACCATGATGAAGCTTAATACTAAACCATGTGGGTGCACCCGCTACAAGTCAAAATTGTACATGATAACAAAGTCAAAATTTGGCGGATTTTAGTATAAATCAAGGGTAAAATGAAAAATAGGAATGTTTAAGAAAACAGAGCAACTTACCATATAAGGATGATACGTCGACAACTTCATTTTTTGGTCTGATCTGCCACATTACGTACACCATTTCGACTTTAAAGTATGACCTTGTCTCCTTTTGCTTCGATTAGGTTCTTTCGATAACGACTTTTTTTTTTGCAGGTTTAATGGAGCAGAAGGAAGAAGGAGGGAGGTGGGGAGTTGACGGGTGTTTGGGATTGTAAATGAGGGATAAAAGGTAGAAGGAAGTGTTGTCCCTATAAGTAAAAGGACAGAAATACCCTCACGTGCAAGGCACATGAGGGGGTTAACGGATGGAATTTAACGGGTGTTAAGTATAGGGACCATTCTCACAAACAAACCAGTCCAAAAGGACCACAAAACCAAAAAACTCGTGGTTTGGACTTTTTTCCTGAAAAAATGCAAACCACAGGGACCATTTTTGCAATTTTGTCTTTATTTTATAATTCATTTACTATTATTTATTTACTATTGTGATATAGACACTTTTATTATACGTCATAATCTAAACCCATTAAATCATATGTCAATTTTTATATAAAAACAAAAAATAAATAAAAAGTAAAAATTTTGTCATATATATTATAAAAACAAAATATAATCAAAAAATAAATAAAAAAGAATAACACGTATATTATCTGAACGAACAAAACAAAAAAAATAATAGTATTAATAGCCATAATAATTATGTATATTTAATAAAAAAATATTAAAAAGGAAAAATAACTTGTACGATATGAATATAGCTACAAAGAATAACACAAATATTTTTCATAATATTAATAAGCATATGTATTTAATACAAATATTAAGAAACGACAACTAGAAAACAAAATATCAAATCACAGGGTGAACCAAAACAATTAGAGAATATGTAAAGAAAATGATTGTGTTATAAGTATTTCTTAAATAAATTTTAACCTCTGTATATTCACTTTTTTTATTTTTGATTGGACATCATTTTTTTTTCTTTTTATATTTTTTCCCTTTTTTTTGTTGTTTTTTCTTTGAATTATTATTATTATTATTATTATTATTAACCATTTAAAATTTGGACAACATTATAAATTCGGACGACATTATGAAATTTGAACGATTATATATAATGGAAAAAAAATAAAGTTTGTTTTCAATCCGCATAACGCACCACACAAATATAATACCGAACCAATTAATATATCGGTGATAAATAAAGACAAACGTTATTTTTGTTCCGTTTTATATAGTTGTTCGAATTTTATTATATCGTCCAACTTTTAAAATGTTGTCCGAATTTTATACGGTTATCGAAATTTATAATAATAATAATAATAATAATAATAATAATAATAATAATAATAATAATAATAAGATTAAAATTAAAATTAAAAAAGAACTAAAAACAACAAAAAAAATAAAATAGGAAAAAAAAAAGACAAAAAAATCACATTATAGGGTGGAATTTGAAAAGAAGGGGATACTTATAGCATTAGCCAAAACCCCTTAAAAAGATAATTATTTTTAGTGGTTATAGAAATAAAAAATAAATAATATAAAGATGTTTGGAGTAAAAAACTAAAAGTATAATGGATTTCGAGCCATCAATTATGTTTTATAGAAAAATAGAGAATCATTTTCATATCCTTGAAGAACAATTTAAACGAATATCCACTTAGATTATTACATTTTCATCGGGATATCCATGGTTAAGAAAAACAATTATGCTCTCATGTATATTTTCTTTTCAAAACAACTTGTTGATGCATTATTATTATTATTATTATTTTGAAAATCCATCAACTCAAAAAAGAATATTTGGTAAACTCAAAAATATTTTTAAAATAACTTTTCTATTAGCTTAAAAAAAGATTTTAAAAACATATAAAACTTGATTGTTTTTCAAATTCTTTTTAGTTTTTTAACCACAATTAGCTTAAAAAAAATAAAATTTTAAGGATATTTTAAATCTAATATATTTTTTAAACTTATTTAATTATTGGTTTGTTACAAAGAGTGAAAAATACTATCAAACACCTCTCACTGTCATTTCATCTTAATTTCACACACAATCTCACAGAAGCAGTCGAATTAGGGCTCACATTGTAGGAGCGGTGGAGCAAATGGTGGTGAACTGTGGATCTTCAGTTCTATATGAAGGTATGTGATGGAGCTTTAGCTGGTTGGATAAGAAACGTTATTCCGATCTACTTGTTGTGTGTTGGGGCTTTAGAACCGTGAGATACAAGCTTTTATGCAATTGTCTATTTAGGAGTTGTGTGTCCTAGCTTCTTAAATCAAGTAAATTTTCTTTTACTCGTATGATTTTAGTATATAATCAATTAAGTTATTTCTTGCATTTCCTGCTATGAATCAATTAAAATGTTCATATGTAGTGGATTACTCTAATAGTTGTTGGTAAACCAATGTCCGATTTGATAGATACTAACATCGATTAAGGTATTCTTATTATGCTAATGTTGGACAGATAAAAAGAAACAAGCTTTATTCTTTAATCATTATTCACAAACAACAAAAGTAGATATGGAACATGATATAACTTTTCATTTATCTTTCTTTTAGAGTTTCATCTTCTACTAACTATTAATTACTCCTTTTTGCTTGCATATTCACCTTGCATACTACTCTCTGGTTTTGACTTTGCTGCTGTTGCCCTATCAAAAAGATACACCTGCTTCTTCATCTACAAAGTACAAACACCACAAAATCATAATCACATATCATTTCTCTAATATTAAAAGAAATATAGATCAATTCTTTAATCTTTAACATATAACAAGAATTAAACCTCAATGAATTTTCGAATCTGGGATTCAAACATTTGGTTGTCTCGTTCCAGGGTACATAATGCAGACTTGGCACTTAAAATTAAATCAAACAAATATAAGTTAAGATGGTTAATTATAATCTATAAAATACTCGAATAAAAATATAAAAGAAATAATGAAATATAGAAAGAACATACACATCAAGGTCTTCAAGATCACCGGTCAAGCATAGTCTTACAGGTCTAACAGACATGTGTACCTTCTTTGCTGCAACTCTGCTTAGAATTTGCATTTATGATTAGTGAAAAATATGATCCAATGCTACAAAATGGAGATATAAAGATAATGGTTTAAGCTAAAAGTATATAAAAAAACGTTACCTTAGGCTATCTACTTCCAACTTATCAAGCATGTTATCAATGAGTTCGTATGGAGGGTTTTGGGTCTCTCTGTAAGTTTACAAATAAGTAATAACATGAAGTCTTTTTTTATTCGAAGAATATTATAAAATACAAATCAAATGAATTTATCAAATCAAGTAGCTAGTTGTGGTGTTTACAGTTGTGTTTTTGCAAAACTTATTATTTTATTAGCATCTCTACAGTACTCTTGTAGCATTCCATCAAGGTTTACTATTCCCCAATGGTCTTCAATTTGTACCATACCATTAAACACAATAAGCTCAACGATCTCCTATAAAGTGAAAAGGTTAACATTATGAATTTATAATTTCATCTAAGGAAAAAAAATGAAAAAAAAAAGTTGAATAAGCACATCATAATGATGTTTATTTCTTTCTCAAATTTCATAAAACTAGAAAAAGGAAATATATTTTGTGCATTATAGATAAAAGTATAAAAAAAACCTCATCTTTTAGGGATTGGGTGATTTCAGCTAGGGCTTCAACATTGTTTGTTGCCATAGCTGGAAATGTGTCTTCAACATCGTTTGTTGCCATAATCGGAAATGTGGCTTCAACATTGTTTCTTGCCATAAGAGTCTAGTTTGGTTTGTATGATAATGATATGGAAGATGAGGTTTTTATATAAGGCAAGGATGCAAAGGTAACGTGTGAGTTGAGAATTGAGTTAGAACCCGGTTTTTATAAAATCAACAGTTTTTTCTTACTGCCCACAGTTTTTTATATTGAAAAAACGGGGAATGATCGTGGTTTCTAAAAACATGGGGTGTTATAGGATGTTTCGTGGAAGATATAGATGAATTTATAGATTTGATTTTTTGCATACCTATCACCATTGTTTCAAAACATAAAGCGGTTGTATCCACATCTTACGATTACATACCAAATTGGTGCAGTAATTATGAAAACGTTGAGTTACTATGAAACGTCATTGTATAAACTCTTTAAAAACTTTAGAGTCCTTATGCCTTATACTTGTATTTGTAAAATATAAACTACGTCTTTCACTAAATACTTACACATCTATGTAAGCAAGGAAAGAGGTTATACTTGTAACTAGATGAATTTAATATTGCTATACATCTCTCTCTCTCTCTCTCTCTATCTATCTATATATATATATATATATATATATATATATATATATATATATATATATATATATATATATATATACTTGTAACTAGTTGAATTTAATATAGCTATACATCACTCTCTCTCCCTCTATCTTTATATATATATATATATATATATATATATATATATATATATATATATATATATATATACTAGGCGAATGCCCGCGCGTTGCGTGGGATATAAAAAAAATATTTTATAGTAAAAATAACTAAATCATTGTTATTAACAACTAAATAATAATTTCATAAAAAATAAAAAAAATGATTTTTAGTATTGGTATTATGTTGAACTATATATTAAGAAATAAGGTTGGAACTTGAAATTGTTTTGCATATACAAAGTTATATAATTAAAATAGAAAAAAAAAAGAATTTTTAAAAATAAATAAATCATTATTGTTATCTATTAAATAATAATTTCATATTAAATTAAAATGTTTATATTAAATATTATCATTATGTAGAAAATACGATAATAGAGATATCTTTTTATCTATCTTAAATTTTATCATTATGTACCGCATATGATAATAGAGACAACTTTTTATCTTAAATAGTAAAAAAAAATGTTTTGTATCATAAATATTACAATAATTATGTAGAACATATGATAATAGTGACTTCTTTTATAAGGTTAAAACTTTATAATGTATTACATACAGGGTTATCAAACTTGGCTAACACAACCAAATACTCGACATGTTACTTAAACTCGGCCTCCAATGGAAGCGAGTTTGCCTAAATCAGCCATAAGACACTCAGATCTTTATTAAACTCGATCCAAATCTTAAAGATACGGTCCAAAATCATTTTTGAAATTCTGAAATTTAATTGGTCACTTGTCGACAAAGACAATCTCACCAAAGAATACACTCAACGTCCTACAAAGTTAGATGCAAGGAAGATCTCATGGCTTAGTCCCTTTGAAATATTTCACAACCTTTCCTGTTTATAGAGGAGAATACATTCTCTTGTTTACTCTCACAATCAATGTGGGATGAAGACATTTTAATTAAACTCATTTCTTTATTTACCAATAATTTCATTTTGTTAAATAAAATATTAAATAATAAAAAAAACGCTATCTAGAAAATTTATTGTTCAATAGTTCCATTTTTCAGTAATCTTGTAAGTTGCTGTAAAAAATTAAGTTTTTATTGAATAACTTTTCGTTAAATTCTAAAATCATAAATTTAGTGAGGTACTTAATATAGAAAGTTTGTTTATATGTATTTTCATGATTCAAAATGTCATTATAAAATGAATTCATTTATAAAATATAATCGAGTATATATTTTGTGCTTTTAAATCAAAGTGATTTTCAAACAATTATAATTTTATGTTTAGGTAGATTTTTTTTTATAATTATATAACTTTATGTAACTTATAATAGTATTATAAACAATTTGAATAATCATGAGAATTTCAAATGTATGTGGTGAAAGGAAAATGCTTCCTTTATTGGTCCAAATTGATCAAACTCGGACCGATTCAGCTTAATATACCAACCTTTATAACGTTTTTTTTATTGAAACCCGGTTTGTATATATTTGTGTTTTTGAATCAACTTTATTTTTCAAACATTTATAATTTTATGTTTAGGTAACTTATTTATAATATTATTATAAACAATTTGAAAAATCATAGAAATTTCAAATGTATGTGTTGAAAGGAAAATGTTTCCTTTATCGGTCCAAATTGATCAAACTCAGACCGATTCAACTCAATATACCAAACTACATAACGGTTTTTCAACTGAAACTCTGTTTGAACCTAAAAAAATCTTGTTCTAAACCATTTTTGGGATTCTAAAACTTAAATGGACAGTTGCCAATAAAGACAATTTCACCAAAGAATACCCTTAACATCCTAAAATGGTATGCATAAGGAAGTTCTCATGGTTTGGTCCATTTGAAACATTTCACAAGCTTTCCTATTTATAGAAGAGGAAACATTCTCTTGTTTACTCTCACCATCAATGTGAGATGAAGACATTGTAATAAAACACACTTTCTTGTTAATAAAACTTTATTCAACTTATTTAGTAAAACACCCTTTCTTTTGTTTACCCTTTCTTTATTGTTCAATAGTTCTATTTTTCTATAATCTCGTAAGTTGCTATCCAAAAAAGTAAGTTTTTATTGAATAATTTTTTGTTCAATTCTAAAATCATAAATTCAGTTAGGTACTTAATATAGAAAGTTTGTTTATATGTATTTTCAAGATTCAAAAGTTCAATATAAAAGAAGTCATTTATAAAATAAAATCTGTGTATATATTTTGTTCTTTTGATCAAATCGAATTTTCAAACAATTATAATTTTATGTTTAGGTAGATGTTTTTTTTATATTTATATAACATTATGTAACTTTTTTTAAAATATCATTGGAAACAATTTGAAAAGTCATGGGAGTTTCAAATGTATGTAGTGAAAGGAAAATGCTTCTTTTATGATCCAAATAGATCAAACTCGGACCGATTCAACTAAATATACCAAACTACATATTTTTTTTCTAGCGAAACCTGGTTTGTATATATTTCATGCTTTTGAATCAAAGTGATTTTTCAAATAGTTATAATTTTAGGTTCAGGTAAATGCTTTTTTATATTTATATAAAATTAGATAACTTATTTATAATATTATTAGAAATAATTTGAAAAATCATGGGAGTTTCAAATGTCTGTTGTGAAAGGAAAATGATTCCTTTATCGGTCCAAATTGATCCAGCTCCGGTTCAACTGAATATACCCAACTACATAATTCCTTTTCTAATAAAAACATGGTTTAAACCTGAAAAAAATTCGGTTCAAAACCATTTTTGGAATTTTAAAAGTTAACTGGACACTTGCCAATATAGACAATCTTACCAAATAATACCTTCAAAATCCTACAAAGGTAGGCATGAGGAAGTTCTCATGGTTTGGTCCCTTTGAAACATTTCACAACCTTTCCAATTTATAGAAGAGGAAACACTCTTGTTTACTCTCACCATTGATGTGTGATGAAGACATTATAATAAAACACCCTTTCTTTTTATTGAACATTATTTAACTTATTTATAATATTATTGTAAAGAAATTGAAAAGTCATGGGAGTTTCAAATGAATGTGGTGAAAGGAAGTTAAAAAAGGGGGTTTCAAATGCACGAGATTCAAGAAAAAATGCTAGCTTTATAAGTATGTATGATATATATATATATATATATATATATATATATATATATATATATATATATATATATATATATATTCAAATGTAGATGATGTGTTGTGTGAATGTGTATGGATAGTGTTATTATATGAGAATGACTAAGATAATAGCTTATTTGGTAATGTAAATAATTTTAGCCTTATATAACTATTGTCATTATCATATTCTCACGAATTAATCCTCTATAAGGGTGGTATGGACTTTTTTTTTAATGATACTCATTTTGCCATATTCTTACATTCTTACAGAATACAATTATCAAGAAAACATTATGACAAAACGAGAATCATAAAAAAAAGTCATAGTACCCTTATAAAAGATTTAATTAGAGAATGTGTGATAATGACAATAGTTATATAAGGTTGAAGTTGAACATATTCGAATTACCAAACAACTTATTCTCTTAATTATTCTCATAAAATAACGTTGTCGGCATAATAGATGTCCATATATATATATATATGAGCTTAGTGAATATGTGGCTGTCATGTATCTAAGCTTATATATAGAACCCTCCAAACAATGTAGTTTTGATCCATTTATATCCAAACTAATCATGATATCTCTTTTACTATTCTTCCTTAATCATGCGACTTACTAAATCGATCAAATTTATATTCTTTTTCTTCATTGTATCTAAGAACTTAAAGCATTAAAAGTCGTGACCATTTAATCAACTCACTAAATTCTAAATGAAAACTAATATAATAAAAGATAAAAGAAGAACATGTCATAACTCAATAAAGCTTTTCACAAAATTATTAGCTATAGTTATCTAGCGGTATGGAGTGACCATCTCATATGAGAGGTTAGGGGTTTAAGTCTCGGTGGAGACATAGGTGGTTATTTAGGAGTAGATTAGTTAGTTTACCGTTTCAGAAAAAAAAATATAATTTTTCAATTGAAATACAAAACGCTTTTTATCTTTGTTAAAAACTATTGGTTTTTTATTTTCTTTTTAAACTTCAATAATTATTTGCAATATATATATATATATATATATATATATATATATATATATATATATATATATATATATATATATATATGATCTTTTTCATTCCATAATTAAACTTAATTCAATGGTATTCTATTAAAGCAAAACTATGATCAAACGAAATTGAATTTGTTTTGTTTAAAACGCCGTTGTTTAAAAGATTTTATATGTAAGCTTAAGTACATAACAATATATATATATATATATATATATATATATATATATATATATATATTT